CTGAATACTTATGACCATGTGATGTTTCAGTTTTTCTTTTTTAATAAATCTGCAATAATGTCAAAAATTCTGTGTTTTTCTGTCAATATGGGGTGCTGTGTGTACATTAATGAGGAAAAAAATGAACTTAAATGATTTTAGCATATGGCTGCAATATAACAAAGAGTGAAAAATTTAAGGGGGTCTGAATACTTTCCGTACCCACTGTAGGAGTAATAAACCAAATCATGCAAAACAGTAGTGACAAAAGAAAGGCCCTGGGGTTTTTATCATGTTGCTTTTTAATATACAACAATGTGTATATTAACACAACATAGGAAGACCCAAACCAGCTAAATAAGTAAAACTCAGCTACTGCACTGAGACAGAGGCCAGACAACAAATGCTATATTGTTATTGTTACTATTTTTTATTTACTGTCTTAATAGCCAAGTTTTTGTGGAATATACCATTAAGAGTTCTAGGTGGGACCTACAGCAACACGGTAGCAAGACTGAGACATGTAACAACATGACTGGATTAGAGTCACTGCTCTACTTGTTTCCACTAGTGGCAGGATTTGTTATGGTTCTGAGGTTTCAAAATGAGATAATTGTGATCATTTTTCCAGATGTGTGTCCTTAAATGCACTTGCCTTTGGCTGTACAAGCTAGTCAGTGTGAGGCAGCTGTAGTCCTTTTATTACCTCACCAATACCGATGTGTGTAGCACTGTATGATTTAGCCAGCTCCTTCACTCTATCTGAAATGTGATTAAAGTATCGAAGTCCAGCCTACACTCTGGTGAAATCCACAGGGAAATAACAATTTGTACTGATGAAGAAAGTAGCTATTATGTTGGATGTTATTCTGTTGGTCTATGACAGAAAGTCACATTGAACTGAACAAGCATTTTTTAATTATTTAATATTTAAATGATTGTACTAAGTTGTCAGTATTATATATTATCAGTAAATTCACAGTGTCTGTTATTCAGAGCTCAAACATTTCATGAAATTCAAATGTTCTTTATATTAGATCTCTACTGGTACATTTAGAGGACTTGTTCTTATACTGACTTTATTTTGTTGTACAAAAAAAAGTGATGAGAGAGCTGATAAATCCACCCAGATCAAATGTGAACCCCTACACACATCTGACTCCACTGTGGCGAGTGAAGGCGCTCTGTTTATGCAACCCTGATTGTGATGGAACAAAGTGGATTTAGGGGTAAGAGCTAACTATGTCTTCAAACAGACCACACTTTATAATGATATGCCTTCTGTATGAGAACAGCCTGCTGGAGGTTTCATGTTCAAAAGTGATTATGTTGAATACTGTGCCAACAGTTTCCTGCTAAGGCATCAACCAGGATGAAATGTTTTATCTGCTTTAGTAAGAAAGAAGAGAACAGTTTTGTGTGATTGGCCTGGGGAGTATTGCCAGTTTTCTCCTTTTCATTGTTATGAAAAACTCACAGTTTACATTTTGTGTATGATATTGTCTGCTGACTTGCATTCTATAATACTTCAGGCAAACAATACCCCAACAGGTTTACAATCTTAATTAGCCAAGTAACATGAAACTGTACATACCAAATAAATATAATGGAGTAAAAAGTACAGTTTTGTTAGCCTCGATTAACAAAGAGGAATATAACATTTCTCTTCTTTTACTTGAGAATATTTAACAAATATTTTATTTAACTTTCACCGCCTTTGGAATTTTTTCTAACTCTGGTGCAAACAGAATCAATATAGGTCCACTGAAAGTAGCAAACTATGTAGCTACTGTACATCAGTATGGAAACCTTAGCAGGCCAAACAAAGCATTTGCAAAAATACAAATATATTTGTACAATATACAAAGTAGAATAAAACTGAAGTGAAGTACCTCAAAATGTAAAATTGGTGCAGTACCTTTGCACTAAAAGAACAGCCAGGTTTCAAAAATGCCTCCAGTCAGAAAAATGTATAAAAGGCCAATTCCAAAGGACTGATTAATTTATTATTCTTACTCCATTAGAATAACAAATTTCATTACAAAATTTCAGCTGAAGGAAACAGATAACTCTCTAATCATTTTAATCAGCTCGACCTCACCGGGAGAGATGCGAGACTGGGATATTGTGGATGTGGCATTTTTTTGCATGTTATTAGGGAGTTACATGATTGGTAGAGTTTAATGTGACTCTCAAAATATGTAAGTCTATATTTAAACAATTTATTTGTTAGTATAATTTCTATTTTAGAATGCATTATGCTAAAGCAGAATTCTGGCAGGTGACAGCAGTGTAAAACAGTTTCAGCATGGTTGCAGACATTTTCCTTTTTCTATAGATATTTAGAAAGTTTGCTCTCTCATCTTTTTTGTCTCCTAGTGACAGATTATTTTACTTCTTCTGCTTTCACCAAAAGATTTCTAAAGGCCATCATTTGAGTGAAAAAGAAATGTTAATCCATGGATGGTGTGGGCTTTGGCTCTTCTTACCATTGCTAACTCTGAGAGACGAGACAGTCCAAGTAACTTCAAAACAGTGCTGAT